TACTAGGATCCTCCCCTATCCGGTCGAAGACGCTTACCGACCTTTTTTCCTCATATTCTTGAGGGAAATTGTCCCCCCAAGTGTGGTTCTGATGGCTGGTTCCCTTGTACATAAGAGATGGCTTCGGCGCCCATGTCTCTTTCGAGGGGGCGTTCTCTGTGATTACTGGTGTGGCCTCAGGAACGAGATACTAGGGCTTCCTGCACTGGGTAAGATCCTTGGGGCATTTGATACCCCTGGTGACCTTGGATTTGCATGAGAAGTTCATGCATCCCCATATTCTGAGTTGCGATATCTCTCATGCCCGCAGCTATTTGAACCATTCATTCAGTAAGCATGGCCGTTCTTTCATCTCAGCGACGTCGGTGATGGGGTCTCTGATGAGTAACACTGTTATGGAGTACCTCCTCTTCAAAGGCCTTTCTCATAAGGTTGTCGTCTTCATGGCTGTAACTCATCCTATCTCCTTTTTGAAGAGTGGTGAGAACTTGGATTATAACTCGACCTTGTTCTTTTTCAAGAACGTGCCTTTTTCAGGGTTAGTCGATAGTCTTCTGGTGATCTCTCCAATGGAGAATGTAGAACTTGGAACGGGAAATATTTTTCCACAGACGGCGCCAATCTATTAACCGCGAAAATTGGACTTTCCACGTGGCCAACCGAGAGCTACTCCACGTATTCCTCCCTACGCACAATCAACGCAAGGTCAGACGCACACGGGCGGGACCAGCGAGGGTGGTGACGGTTGTATACACTCTGACGGTCAAGTCAGGTTCAGGTGGTCGAAACAGTATCCAGGGGGTTGTGCAAAATAATAAAGGTGAGGAGAAAATATATATAAATATGCTTGTTATGGAGTGCTATCTAGTGAGAGTTTCATTACCTTTGCCTTTTGCCAACCTTTGGGTATTTATAGATAGGATGAACCGTTGGATGTGGGGCACGTATATACATCTGACGATATGAGGTGTCTGCTCATAGGCGTCAATCAGCCGCGTCTATAGAGTGGGCGGATAATTGCTTTTCCCGAGTTGAGTTGATATAAAGTTGATAAATCACATCAACTAACCTCATGGAGACGTCAAATCAATTTAAACTTTAGGGGTAGAATATCTTGGTAAAGGTCTCCTTCTGAAATTGGCGGCATATCTTCTGACAGTGGTCCCCCAGAGTGTACTTCGCCTCGACATCATGGGCGAGGGCGCTTCGATCGGTTCGGCAGAATTGTTTATGGCTTGCAATGTGATAGCAGGTTGTTGACATTGGAGAGATCACTTCGGAACCACTTCGGGTGGGTGTATATCAGGTCGGAGTGCCTTGTGGAGAATATCCCGAGGTGGTTCAGATGGGGACGTAACAAAAAGATCAACATCATTAAGAAGAATTGTCAAAACCATTATATATGTTGTTTATTGTTCGCATTTTTATTTTATATGAAATTGTATCCTTAATTATGGATAATCAAAGTAGATCTTTTTTTCTTTGCACGATAAGTATACTACTATAGTATTGATCTGTGGAGTTGCAGAATAAAATTTTAATATAACCAACTTTAAGCTTAGCCAAACATACATGCGTTCTAAACGAATTTATTAAGGAAATATGTTAGTTTACAAGTAACAACTGGTTGAGAAAAATTAGTAGTATAATATTGAACTTTCCTCCAACTACTAAAACTTGACAAATTATTAAGCTGAGTGTACACTTGTTTGATGTGAGAGTGCCGTAAAAAATGATGTAAAAAGTGCTGTACTTGTAGCACAATTGTTAATAATAAATTCATTTTTGGAAAAAAATATAAAAGAATTGATAATTCAGACTAAATTGCAATCATTTTGACCATCCAAATCAGCGCTGGATTTGTAAGCAACAGTTTTTTAAATCAGTCACCTCAATTGCAGTCATTTTGACTTCATCAATCAAGGCACGGACGTTTAAATCCAGTCAAACAATGAAAGCATTACTTACAACGGCAAAAAGTTAATAGGTTTTAAAAAATAAAAATCAATAATTAAATTAATAAATAAATAAATTATTTAATTTAACAGGTAAGTAAGCCTAACTTTTCACTTAAAATATTGAAATACATTTAAAAAACTAAAAATTACTTACAACTAACTTTCTTTGCATGTTCAGCCAGATATTCTTAAGATAATAGCATATATTCGGTGCTGTGTTGCTGCCTAAAATTATTTGTCAACTAATTATGTTTGTAAAATATATATTTTACCTCAATTTTTTTATTTCAATCTTATATATATATATTTATTTATTTATTTATTTTAATTTTTTTTCCTGAGAACTATGAAATATGTCTTGTCGGATAATGAATTTAAAACTTGATCAAAAAAGACTTAGCATGTTTGGATTTCAGAAGGCTTAATACACATCTCGTCTAGATGCTTTACTACAAACTTTTGGAAATACATTCGTTAAATTAGGAAAAATAAAAAAATTTCATCTGTTAACTATTAACATGAAATGGCTAGATACTTAATGCCTGTTATAATTATTCTAATTTGTTTTTGGTTAATTTTATTAAAAGAAACCCACATAGGGAACAATTTTATAGAGCTTGATTCAACACAACTTGCCGCAATGTAGGGGTTCGATTCCTGAGATATGAAATTGGACTCCTTGTAGGCGCAGTGTACATGCAGCTTTTGTTCTTGATTTGCTGGGGCACATTTAGCAATTTACCTCCCTCACAAAGCTCTAGAGACGACGCGGTGGGGATCCACAAGGTTGGGGTTAAACCTTTTTCTTTTTTTGATTCAACACAACTTGTCTCTCTTGACAGCTATTTGGAACGTTACGCTTCTAAGTCCATTTGAAAATAACGTTTCAAACAGAATGGCAAACTAAGTACCAAACACAACTCTTTTAGAAACTGATGGTTGATCAATAAGTTTACCATTGGATGTCATACAACTGTTTACCTGCCATGGTACCTTTGTCTTGTTTTCATATATTTTTTCTTAAACAGTCTAATCAATGGAAATAATTCATCATTAATTTATGTTAAAACAGACATGCGAATGCAATGTGCCTGTATTATCACCATCAGCTACTGCAAAAGAAGAAAAAAAAGAGAAAGTTATGACTGATGTGGGATGACAAATGAGGAGACAGATAAGAAAAAAGGTGAATTTCAGCTGAAAAAATTACGATAGTTAGAGTTCTATCCACCAACCCTCCACGAAAAATCTGGGAACTCGCACGTGCTCTTGCTTGCGTTGTTGCTTTCTTACATCTTGCACGAGAACAGCTACATACACCTGGTAAAAGTAACTAAAATAAACAGCTCTAAACACCTAATTTAGACAGATATACCGTGAAGAAGGGAAATGATTCTAAGATACTTATATACTTTAGGGTGCACATAAGGGTTTACACACCTTTCAGATGAAGGGAAGCCCGCGTGCTGTTAATCATTATGTGAATTTTTTTTTTTTTTTTTTTTTATGTTCGTGTAATATCACCTTTTCGTAAATTACCCTGCATACTATAAACACAAAAACGTGATTATTTTTTTGTTTATTTTTTGCTTAGCTTAAAAAAAAGTAACTTTATTTTTTTAATATGAGAACTTAGGTAATTTTTTTCGATTTTGGAATTTTCCAAGAGTTTGTATTATAATTCTCGATTTCTATTTATCTAACTTTCTCGATATCTTCTCAGTGGATGATCCTAAGAGGTTGTGGTTGATAAACTCATTAAAAGAAATACTTGATGTTTAATATTATTTTCAAATTAGACCAAATTAATAGGAATATCGAACTTGTTTGATAGCTTGTAATTAATCATATATAACAGGCTTGAGAAAAAGTTATTTTGAATAAGCTCAATGTAAATTAGAGCCAACGGAAGAAAATTATGGTATAATGAATTCTTAAGAGAGCCTATTGTTTTTGTTTTTATCTATTTTTATTTTTTTTCTTTCTTTTTTTTTTTAAGATTCCTCAAATTTTGAGGTTTAGCGCATTGCCTAGGTGACTTTGACCGGGCGACCTGATTTTTTAGTTGTGTAATTTTATTTTTATTTTTTCAATTTTCTCTTCTACTAATGTTGGTTCTTCGAGGTTATTGAAGTGGAACAAAGTCCATAAAGTTATTGAATAGTGATTTTTAGAAGAATGTGTAATTAAAAAGTAATAAAAAGTTTTGAGTTCACGTATAAAATATTTTATCGTTTGAAGAATAGTGATTTTTAGAAGAATGTGTGATTAAAAAATAATAAAAAGTTTGAATTCACGTACAAAATATTTTATCATTTGAATGTGTGATTGAATATGAGTATAAGAATTAAGAATTTTATTTTAAAGAAAGATAAACATGAGCTTAATGCTATAGTTGTTAATTTATAATTTTGAATGAATGACAATAAGCCCCTATTTGATGTCCATTATTTGACAAAAATAAAGTTTTAAATAGTGAATTTTTGAAGAATATGTAGTTAAAAAGTAGCAAAAATTTTGAGTTTACGTGTAGAAAATTTTATTGTATAATGTAATGTTAAAAATGAGTATGTAAAATAAAGAATTTTGAAAAAATAATCAAACATGGGCTAAATAATATTTAAACGTTTATAAATGAGCGAAAAAGGGCAGGTGTCCTCGGACCATAATTGAAAGAGAACTGTTTGTATTGATCATCAAACACAGTTTAATGCTCCCCAAACCCCAAACCAGCTTACAAAAACTTATCACAAATGAATTTGATCAAAGATGAAGTTGATGCAGCCTATTTGTGGCCCATCAGAATTATATACAACTGGCTAGACCTCTATCGTTGCCCTATGCTATAGCCACCTAAGACCCTATCTAGGTTAAAACACCCGTATCCTTAGCCAAAGATATTGGCTGACGTTATTTCCTTCGTTAACTTTTACCTACCAAACATCATCTTTCCTTCTATATATAACTGTCTTTTTCTTGTGTAGTTCATGAACAATGGATTTCGCTTCCTTTTCTAACTCAGGTTCTTGTGAAACGACATTAATGGTATGTAATGGAAGGGAGAAGAAGAATATGGGTACAGCAAAGAAAGCAAAGGCAGTGGCTGCCGTGAAACTCTCGACTGACCCACAAAGCGTGGCTGCGCGGCAAAGGAGGCACAGGATCAGAGACCGTTTCAAGATTTTGCGGAGCCTGATCCCTGGCGGAGCAAAAATGGACACAGCATCTATGTTGGAAGAGGCAATTCATTATGTGAAGTTTCTCAAGACTCAAATCTGGCTTCTCCAGACAATGATGGACTTTGAAAAGGATTATGGTCCTGATTCTGCTTATTATCCTCCTCAATATAATTCATTTTTCACTCATCAAAGTGATGTTTATCCGCAAAATTATGATATGGGAGTTCAAGATGAGGCAATGCCTCAATTAGGGTTATCAAATTCTTGCTTCCAAGGTGACGAAAATGTGCCTTTTGATGATCCACATGTGCAGCAGTACTACTAGTTATGTATACTGAAGTACCTTCTCTCTAGATATTTCTCTACGTTTTGATTTCTATGTTGTTTGTCAATTGTAATAGTATATTAGGATTAGGTAATGATAAGTAAGTATTAATATTAGCAACTCTTAACAATTATAGAGCTACTTGTTATTTTGCCAATGTGAAACTATCAATTATAGATTCATACTCTCTACTTGGGCAAACAACATTGGGGGTTCCGACTTGGAATCTTAAAACGATGAAATCCTAGACCTTCGAATTTTAGCGCTACGGATCTTTAATCTTTAAAAAGTGTGCAAGTATTCTATTATCAAAATTGTTAGTTTGACCGTTAAAAGTTGATGAATATATAGCGAAAAAATTGATAAAATTGTGGATCTCATGATATATATTGTTAAAATTAAACTAAATGAAAAGTTGATAAAATCAAACTTTAATAAAACAAAAATTTGCTCTCAATTTCCCTCCCACCACTTCTTCTCCAAAATCATCATCAGTGGTGGATTCAAAAATCTGAGTGAATTAGGAAGGGATCAACGACCACAACACCAAAATCATTTATTAGTATTTAATTAAAAAATTCTTCAATCAATATATAAATGCATTAAAACTTAAAAAATCATATAAAAATACGTAAATATGATTCAATACAACCTAAAATAATAAGAAAAATACAATAACAAATACATGATACAAACTCACTCTATAATTGTAAACTCAAACTGCATCTTTGGGGTCTCATATTTCGAAAGCACACTAAGATTGTCTCGTTCTCAAATTTTTCAAAAATCTCTTACTACATGTACACCACTAGATTGTCATTTAAACAATCATCTCCATTTTGTTGCACAATTCACTATTGAATAGATTTATAGTAGATAATACCCTTTCAAAACTTGCAATCGCCACTGATAATATCAAAATCAATTTGATAAGCCTATAAACCAATGGGAAATAAAAAGAAATTCTTGTTTAAATTAAATTTTGGTCTATGCAAGATATACTATTGAGGTTAAAGAAAGTTGTCTCTTCTCACAAACATAAGAAACTTGTCAATTTGAGGTCTAAGTAATATAAGCTCTTCACTAATGAAGTCCAAAACATAGAACTAAGCAAGACGTAACAATTTAGCTCTATTGAAAGATGCAAATGAGGCTCTTGGACTCAAACATGAATTGCAAACAAGGAGCTCATTATTTATATCTAGAAAACTACCATTCAACTCTTGCAAAATCGAGCTTATCACACAGCAATACAAATCAACATAAAAAAAGACTAATAATATGTCACTTGCTAAGCTCCACGCGTAGGTCAACCTCCCAATACTACAATATCCTTCATATTGCGCACTACAATATGTATACCAATACAAACCCACTCAATTAATTATCCAAATTGTTGTCCTCATGTCTTACAATGCATCTTTACACAAATCCAGCAATAACATAGAATTCTGAAAATCTTAATTCTTTTTTTTGTAGGGCTTGTGAAAGATCATCTGTAATTGTATGAAATTTCAAACATAAAGTAGGGATATCATCAAACATATTAATAAAATGAGTAATTGTTACTAGATGTGAGCCCCATCTAGTATCATCTGATTTTGCTAAACTTGTTTCTTGAATCCTACCATTGCCATCACAAAATTTCCCATTTAGATACTTTGCTTTTGATTCATCAACTTCGTGCACTTATAGAAAGCTTGAGAGTAAGCACTATCAAAGAGACCAACATGATCTTTCAAAGTCTTCTTTTGCTTCCAATCCCTAAAGTCAGTCTTAAAGAATGCATGTCCACCCTCTTGACCCCCTATATCAGGTTAAACAAACAACAACCCAAATAATAAGACGCGTCTTTTCTATATTATACTGCAACCAATAAAATTCAGAGAACCACTCTTTGTAAAATACCTATTATCATTTCCCATCGATCTTCTTGAAAAATCATGCTCACGTTGATTGGAACCTTTCTCTAAGTATGACATCCTAACATTATTTCTGGTATTAGGATCATATGATTCGATAGGGAGATGTTTTCTTGGATCAAACATAAAATCATCCACATTGAATTGAGCCCAATTCTTCTATGTCTTTGGACAGAATTCGATTTTTACCATGATTCTTGTATTCTACTTCATCCAAAACACTTGTAATGAATACTATATATTTTCCACGTGATCTAGCCTTGAAATATGATGGCAAAACATTGTATAGCATTGAAAGAATATCAGAGAGAGAGAGAGAGAGAGAGAGACTCTCACATTTTTAGATAGGTTGAGAGGCTTGCGAGATCTTTTTGTACTTCTTTACTATTGATCATAGTGAATTCTCGCCTATGCTCGTGATTTTTCCAGATTTAGGTTTTCACATAAATCATGTGTTCTTCTGTGATTCATTATTTTCATTTTGCCCATATTTTCTTAGCTTTAATATTCACAACAAGTGGTATAAATTATATCATCGGGTTATTGCAAATTGACTCAATCTATAACACCAACCATAGTATAGTGAAGTTGTGATAGGGTGAACCTTGTAAGAGCATGAGTCGTGCCAATTGCTTTTTGAAGGATGTGTAAGCATGTAAAGTCTGTGAAAGGGATGTTAATTTCAAGGTGTATCTAAGAATAGTCCCTTGGGTGCATAAATAGTACTCGTAAGCCTATTGATTGCTTTCACGGCGTTTAAGCAGTCAATATCCACAAACACTAAATCTAGATTTTGCACTACTACAATTTTATTGCCCTCCTTTTATTGCTAAGCATTTGTGGATAAAAGGAGAGATACATCCAGAAGTAGATTTCATTACTGCTACAACTACCTTTTCCCCGCGATCCCTACTTACAGCGCCAAGTCCGTAGAATTGATGATCACCTTTAACGGTCACATCCCAAATCTTAAAACTGTTTTATGTCCTTTTTTTATTTTTCGATGTTTAAGTCACGTATTACTTTTCTTTAAAACAATATTAATAAATTAATGAAATAGTAAATGAAAATATTCTAATCTCCATATTATCTATCAAAAATATGTGATATGGTACAAGATGGAGGGTAACACCACACCCGTTGCAATCAAGAGCGAATCTAAGGGCCGGGCTAGCCTAGGCTACAACCCCGTGCAATCCCCAGCCCAAATCCATTAACTATCATTTTCCCTTGGAAAAATTTCATAAATGAGAGATTAATTATGCTACATTTCAAATACAAGAAAACAAGTTTCAAATTTCAAAAATCAGATTTTTATTAAAAAATCATTTATAATTTAATTAATTAATTTAGTAATTGAGTATATTTAAGTCACATATTTATATAATTTGTTCACAAATTGATGATTTAATTCGCCACTTATTTTTTTTGGTCACAAATCAGAAATTTTATATCACAAATTATTTTACGATCACAATTCAAAAATTTTATAGGTCACAGTTCGTTCGTCGATCACAAATCGAAAAATTTATAAGTTACGATTTATTTATTGGTCACAAATTACAAATATTACAAATCACAACTTATTATACAATCACAAATTTTAGTTCACAAATTAACATTTTTTTAGATTACACATTATTTTTCTATCACAATTTATCTTTTTCATTAGTCACATATTATTTATTGGTCACACATTAACCAACTTAATGGTCACAGTCAACCAAATAATTTGTGACCACCACCAACACTTATGATTCACAATCACAATTTTCAGTTCACGTGTCCAATTGTGAGTCACGATCACAACTTCCAGGTCACATAACCAATTGTGAGTCACAAATCAACTAAATCGCCTCAACCACCACAACTACCGCCACGATCAACTGTGACTCCCAAATTGTGAGTTACAAGTGGGAGTCACAATCACAATTTTGAGGTCACAGGTCCAATTATTTGTCAAAAAATCAATCAAATAGCCACGACCACCACAACCATCGCAATTCACCACCACAACCACCATCACAAACGACTGCAAAACAATATAAAATCGTCGCTGATTTGCAACTGCAGTAACCAGCATCACCACCAACCCCAACCCCAATCCCAAACTCTCGACAGTTGATCACGAACCTCCAAATAGTTGGTCACAAACATTTTCATACTACACCGCCCCACAATCGCAACCTGCAAACACCACACCACGTCGCCACCAACGTTAACACTACCACCACCATCACCACCGCAGCCGCCGCACCACTAACACCTCTATTTCCAAACCACCAAGAAAACCCCAAAATCGCCCACATGTCATGCCTTCTGCCGACTAGATCAAACCACAACAATCAAACCACCACCTCACCACCAACACCACAAAAACCATCACAACCACCACCACTTAGGTCATTACACCGGTGAAGAAGAAAAAACAACCTACAACCACCACAACTCAATCACAACAACAACTTGTAACCACCACACCACAATCGCAACCTACAACCTCCAAAACTGTTAGCATCCCACAACAGCCATCATCATACCACCTCACCATTGTCATCGTCTCCACCCCACCACTACCACCGCCACTTCTTTTAACCACGACTCCTTCAAAGATCTAGTAGTCACAAAACCATCACAATCTGAAACCACCGAAACAAGAAGCCACTTTTAACCACCACTTCTTCAAAGACCGGGTAAATCTCATAGGTCTGCTCGCAACGGCTATGCGTGGTGGCTTGCTCCGGCGTCATCGCTACGTCGTTGCTCTGACATCGTTGTTGTGCGATTCGAACAGTGTTTGCTACATCGAGAGAGATGGAATGGCAAAGAGAGAGATCAAAAAGTAGGTTGGAGGAATCACTGCTTCAAATTGTGGTGGTGGTGGCGATAGTTGCAATGGTCATGGTGGCGGTGAGAAAGGAGTGAGCAACGAGAGAGAGAAGATGTAGAGAGGGAATGGGTTTGGGGGAAATTACTTGGGGTGGAGGGGGGTTACGGTTCGTTTCTAAATTAAACAATTAATATAAAAAAAAATTCAGATTTTTGAAATAACAAACTTCCAATCTGATTTTAGAATGTTGAATGCTTAAACTATGGTTTGGTGTAATTTCCACTTTTCCTTTTTTGTATGTTTTTGACATAGTCCATGTCCACTTAATTCATCTCGCATCCAATTTAACCACAGTCCCTTTCCAAATTAAATAACAACCCAATTCCAAAACTAATTCAAAACCCAAAAGAAAAAATAAAGGGTAAATAAGCAAAACCCTACCTTTACACTTCAAAAATATGAGCTCGGAGATTTCTTTTCATAAATCTAGTATTAATAAGTTTTAATTAAGAATAATAAATTTTTATATTAGTTAATACAAAATTAAAATGAATTAATCATATAATAACCGTTTTTAGTACTTATCTAAAAAAACTCAAATTTATCCAAATAATAAATTGCCATAACTGCCCCTTTCTCTTTATCTCTATTCAAGCCATCTTCTTCTACCTCTACATTAAACATATTTTCCTCTCTATAACCCATCTTTTTCAATTGTGCATTTCTTCAACCTCTATGCTGAATAACTCTAACCCGCCATGATCATAAACTTTAAATATAAATAGGTTTTGTCACAAACATTAATTGTTACCAAATGTCTAATTACAAGTCATTGTTGACATAAACTTAGTTACACATAGTCACAATTAAGATAGACCTGATCACAAGCAGTTATATTGAAGACAGACTTCTTCATAGACAATTACAAATAACACAATCTAATCACAAACAATTACAGCTTACACAGACTTGGTCACAAATAATCACTGTTAAACAGATGCTGATCTCATATAGCACAAAACACACGGTCAATAGGTCATAGTCATGCCAAAATTTTATGAAATACAATTAACTATTTAAAAATTATGAATTTTTATGTCACAAGATGAATTCGAAATTTCACATCAATATTAAATCTCATCTAAATAATCTTTCAATTCAACTTGTCCAAGAATACAGAGTTTGTGAATAAAACAAAAGAATAATGACTGGATTGCTTCATAGTAAAATATGGAAATCTCTGATCATCGGATTCTTCGACTTTTGCGTTTCAACAACTCTAAATGGCTGGAAATAAAAAATTATTGACAGCATTTTGACTTCATCTCTTGATCGGTGCTATTTGGAGAATAAATTCACCAATTTTGTGTACAATTGGTGATTTAGGAGAGATTTGGGAGTCATATTTAGAGAAATAAAGAGAGTAGAAAATTGTAACTAGAGTGAGAAAATGTGTTGTAATTTGAAATAATTGATATTATTCAAGACATGTTAAAACATTATATATTATCCTTATTTAGATTATATTTATCTATATATTATAAGTATTAATATTATACTTATATAATATATAACATTTGATTTTCGAAACTTTTGTTCAAGTTTGTTAGTTTTGTGAGAATTATTATTTAACTATAGTGGTTATCTACTTTTCCTGAAAAAGAATATCATTAACCCAAACGTAATATCCACCCCCTCTCTCGCTCTATAGGCTCATCTCTCTCAATAGCTCAAAAGCCTCTACTCGAATGCTCATCTCTTTGTCTTTTTGTCTCTATCTTTTAGTGTCTTCTAATCTCTTGGTGCCAATACAATACATACAAGCCCTCAATTTTTCAAGGTGAAGATGGGTTCTTATACCTCTGTCCATCAAGAATCGAATCTAAGGCTATTACTGATTTGTAAATTGTCGATTTCATAACTGAACTTTGAAAGGCAATGCTATGAAACTTATAACGTGTCGCGATTATATATAATTCATGACCGAATTTTTCATGATACATGTGTGTTCCTATCCCGTATTGAATTGATTGCAAGATATGGTGGCATGAAAAATATTTGATAATGAAATTAAATGGATTAGGTGGTGTATCTGTGTTTCTGGGCAATCTCATTTCGTTAGAAAAAATTAGGATCTAAATCATACCAGCTTCTGGTTTTGAATTTAAATTAATGATTATCCTTATTTTAAATTATTGCATAATTGAATTTATGATGTGTCCAAATATGAAATATATACTGTGTATATTTCAAGTTCCACATAACAATATATCATAAGTTTGCAAAGTAGTAGCAAAATATCATAATACAAACCACAAAACTAAAATCAAACAGAAAGTATTTTAAAAATCTCCGGTTACTAAAGTACAGTCAATCTTGTTACGAGGAGAGTATAAATAGATCTTAGTCCTTGTTTGATCCCCATTTTGAGGGAAATAATGTATTTTGAATAGTAGATTGATGAAAATGTGTAGTTAAAAATTAAAGAAAAGTTTTGGATTTACATGGAATATTATTTTATTGAAAAATATGTAGTTGAAAATGAATTTTGAAAAAAATGAATTTTTAGAAGAATTGGAATCAAACAAGGGCCTTAATTTCACCATATCAATCAAAAGGACTATATACAAAACAATTGAAATCAAAAAGCTTCAGTTTTTCCATACCATTGCAGATTTTTGAGTAAATAATATTGTAAATGAAAAACTCTGCCTATGGTCAACAAAAGAATGATAGAAATAGTGCCCACAACACACACTCCCACGGCATGCCACCCCGCCCCAACCCACAATCCATTCATAAAAACAACATAAGCTATAATTGCCTTCACCATTTTCTTCCTAATGATAAAAAGCATTGACAAGACGCCAATTTGGGGGGTGGAATAGAAGTAGGAATATCTATAGAAGTTAATTGGTTCTCTCTTTTTTACTACAATTTTACAGTATTTGTGGGATAAATTTTATAACAATGGAATTATAAAAAAAAATTTCAAATAATACATGAGCGTGTAATTTTCACTATCAACTTTTACAAGTTCTCCTCCCTTTGTTGAAATAAAAAACTCAACCCAAATAGCCTCTGGGGCATATCTCAGTGGTGCAAAAAACAAGGGTGGAGTATACTTAGCCTTGCTGGCAGCCGCAGTGTGATGGTTCAATTCTTGAAACATGGATTGAGACTATTTATAGGCACCAGTGTACAGGCAGTTATTGTTCTCTGGCCTGTTGGAGCACATCCCGCAATTAACCTCTCTCACGATGCTCCAGGGGCAGGGCGGTGGGGGACCCTTTCGGTTGGGGTTCAATCTTTTTAAAAAAAAAAAAAAAACTCAACCCAAATGATTGTAACAATAAAAAATCATTCAAAAGTAGCCCACAACTGAACCAAAATAGACCCGGCCAAAAAAAAAAAAAGGACCTATAGCAACGTAAGTTTTCTTCACGACCCCATTGAAGCTTGGGAAAATTGCTTCTCTATGGCTCTACCTATAAATCACGATCTTCTTCACCCGATTGCAACCGTGTTTGACACCATTTGTCGACCTATTCCTTCTTCTCCAATATGTAGAAGTTCCTATGTTGTTTTATTTCTGTCATTTTCTTTATTTACAATATGCAATTAAATTCACGACAGAATCTTATCAAAGTTGCTACATCTTGAGCTCTGACTTGAAAATTAATGACCTACGACCAATATTTTAGTTGCCATCGTGTTGGACGCCGATCATTGGCTTATCTACCTTCTTCTCTAGTATGTAGAGCCAAGAGTGGAGCCCATTAAGGTCCAATGCATAAATTTTTTTGGGAAAAATACATAATTATAGTACTTTAAGTACACTATATCACATTTAACAAACTTGTGAAAATATTTCAAAAGTCAGGTGATGAGAAACCCAATCCATCATAACCTCTCTACAGTTGAAAATAGTGCTTTATTTTTAGCTATTGATTTCATTAGTCTCGGCCTTAGATTTCTTCATCTCCAGTTTAGGAACGGTTACAGTAAGAACTCCATTCTCCATTGTTGCCTTCACTTCACCATTTTTTACATTTTTTCGTGAATAGAACCTCCTGAGAGATATACCTCTTGCCTTCTCAATCCGATGCCATTAATCATTTTTGTCTTCCTTTTTCATTACCCTATCGCTATTGATTTGCAGAACCCTACCCTCTTCCACCTCAACTTTCACTTTTTCTTTCTTCAGCCCCTGAAGTTCGACTTTGAAAACATGGAACTCCAGCATCTCCTTCCAGTCTATTTGAACATTGGCGGTGGCAAAAATGTAGTTGGTTGATTGAAATCTCCTGAACAACTTAAATTTCCTCCGCCCATCATCTCCACCACTACAATTGCATGTGGAAGATGATTGTTATCAAAGAATCTAATCGAACTGATAAGGATAAATTTTGTAGATGGGAAATTGTGGTTGATGGGAGTACTATTGATCATTGGAGATGAAAATCAAGCGAAAAATGATTGAACCATATTTGGCAATGTTTTATCATATCCGATTTGGGAAATAAGGGCTATATATGTTCTATCAATCACATGTATATGCATTTAGGCAGCATATTAATTTTTTTAACTGTTTAATAAACTTTAAAATTTTCTTTCAGGGTGTAGATTTTTTTTATTTAGTAATCTGACATAAGCTGTAGCTGATGAAATTTCAAATAGAATTGTTGAAATTTGTGTCCAAGGAAATGGTGTGATTTGTGACTAATGGAAATTGTGATTTGTTAGTGAGATGGGAGTTGAAATTCAAGTGAAATGGTATGATTTTTATTTAAAAAATATATTAGTGACCGTGACCGATTAATCGTATACTTTGTAACTATAAATTACATATGACCTATTAATTATTTGTTTTGTGACGTTATATGTTATTGTGACCCATAAATTGTATTGTATTTGATTGTGACTAAGCATGTGATTATAATTCATTAGTTTTGTGGCATATGATTGTGACATATTTAATTTCAATTATATGTCACAACATTTATCCAGGGTCACATATTATGTGATTACTTGATTTTGAATTGTCACCTTCACTCTTATAAATCTCTCAGGTTCTAAAATCATTATATAATTAGGCGATCATATTTTGTGACATCTTATAAAATTGTAAAATTTTGTGACCTCTAATTTAGTTAAACGGATCACGATTACATTAAACATAATTTATAACTATGGTCATAGTGTAAATTTAGTCGCAAATTACATATTTTTATAAGTTACAAATTATTTATTGGTCACATTTCATTGTACGAACATAAATTATCAAATTAATTTATCACAACTTATTTATCGATCACAAAGACACAAATCATAGGTCACAATTACAAATTTAGTAACCATCAAATATTACAAAAAAACTAGTTTTAATTGATCAGAATTACCCAATAATGAGTTAAAATTACCTAATAATTGGTCATTATTTATTTCTTGATTACAAATCATAAAAATGTATAGGTCACAAATTATCAAATTAAATGTCGCAAGTAATTTTTTGATCACAAATTATCAAGTTATTTGATTATGACTTATTTATCGATAATGAAATCGCAAATTGTAAGTCAGAATTATTGATTTTGTCACAAAATCACATAATTTTAGGTCACGTATTATTTGATAAAATTATCAAATTAATTGATTACAACTTATTTATCAGTTACAAAGACACAAATCATATGTCACAATTACAAATTTAGTGACAATAACATAATTTAAGTCAAGTATTATTTATTGATGACAAATTACTCGTTTTATTAATCATAATTATTCAATAATTGGCCAAAATTACTCAATAATTGGCCACGACTTATTTCTAAATAAAAAAATCACAAAATATACAGATCACAAATTATCAAATTAATTAGCTACAATTTAGTTCTTGATAATAAATCACAAAGTATATAGGTCACAACTTATTTTAAGATCATGAATCTACTTTATGGCTCATTTTGTAACTCTTGATAGAAGTTATTTATCGATCATAAGTGGATTCATGACTCTTACATGACCTACAAAAATCAATTTGGTCACATTTTGTAACCCTTGATAAAAGTTTGATCATATTTTGTGACCACTTTATGATCTAAAATTTAATTACTCGGGTCACTATCATAATCACACAAAACTTATGGTAACAGTCACATATCGGCCATAAATTACACAAAACAAAATTTGTGGATCACAATGATAAATTTAATCGTAAATCATATGTTTTATTAGATCACATATTATTTATTAATTACAAATATCCAAATAATTAGTCGCAAACCTTATTCACACCCAACTCAATCTCATCACATCCCACTCCACTCTACTTTTATTCATTACAACCCAAAAAACATATTATACATTATACTAAGTACAAACATTCTAGAAAAGAAATGACACCAAGTTCCACATATAAAAACATCATTAAATAAACAAAAGAAGAACAATAATAAAAACTTCCAATAGTTGAAAATAGTCTTGGCTTCAGGTTTCTTCACCTTCAATTTAGGAACAATTATAGTAGAATATCATTCTCCATTGTTGCCTTCACTTCATCAATTTTTTGCATTTTCTAACAAATAGAAACTGCTAAGAAATTTGCCTCTTACCCCCTCTCAATCCAACGCCATTTATTATTCTTATCTTCATTTTCCGCTGCCCTCTCGCTGCTATTTTGCAGAACCATACCCTCTTTCATCTTTACTTTCACCTCTTCTTCAGCCCCTAAAGACCAGCTTTGAAAAACACATGGGCCTCTAGCATCTCTTTCCAGTCTATCCAAACAGTGGCGATGACGAAAATTTCATTAGTTGATTGAAATCTCCTTAAAAACCTAATTCTCCTTTTGTCCACTGCCTTCTTCACTATAGTAGTCACCACCACCTCAAACAATCCACCACCCCCATAGAATCGAGACAATTCTCTTTCAACATAGTCCCCGAGACTCCAAGCTATGTGGTGCCGCTGCTCGCTGATTCTCCATTCCATACCACCTCGTTCATCGGACCCACATGAAAATCTCACCATTGATTTTTTGTAAACCTTGACGAACCATGAATTCATCTCTACGCTCGGCCTAAAAGTATTAGATATTTCCTCTCATCTGCGTCAATAGCTGGGACACCACCAGGTTTTTATTTAGGAATTCGTTGAAATGGTTAGTGGAGAGTGAATGGAGTGGGTCAATGTCGGGTATGTGATTTTGTGTAATACCTGACTTTTAAAATAATTCACTTAAATTTTCCTTGTTGAAAAGTAAAGTCAAATACCCAGCTACAAGGTTACCCCCCCCCCCCCCCTTTTAGTATTAGCCTATTGGGCTTTCCAATTAACCAAACCAAGAGGGAAAAAAAATAAAAATAAAATGGAAAACTACCCAAAACCCTATATCTCAAGTATACAACTAAAAAACAAGGGGGAAGTTTAAAATTCACTAATCAAGTGTTAATTCAATTTTATTAAATTAGTTAATACAGATTTATTGTAACAAACCATCCAACCCATTCCCAAATTTCAATCCATCGTCATCTTGCAATTCATTTTTGATAGGACCCAAGAGTCGAGCCCGACGAAAACAAGTGCGAGACGAGACCCGTTGATAGTCGATGGTAGATCGATGACGCGATCGAAGATGAGACGAGTCAACAAGGCGATGGGATTGCTTGTCAAGGCAACGATTAAAGACACCATGTTCGGGACTCAAAATTGAGCAACTTTCATTTTCGAGTCGAAGGTCATATCAATTTGGATCAATTTAATATCGAAGGCCGAAACCGGAGGGAAATTTTAAGCCTGTGTGTGCGACCGCATAGAGTTATCTCTCATGCGGTCACACAGATGCAGTCAGGGAGCAAGAAGGCTGAAATTCGTATCACCATGCGACCGCATGGGATAAGGCTTCGTGGTCGCATAGGCTATCAACGGGCAGAATGTTCAGAATTCCGAAATTTTCGCAATTACCAAATTGTAACAAATTCTGTGATGGCAAACAGAATTTGTAGTCCTTTACGACTTGTCCCCTACTTCCCTTATTTAATTATGACTCTAATATTTTAAGGATTTTTAGGGACGTATTTTACCATTTTTAAATTAGGATGTTAGAAGTTTATTTCCTTTAAAACTTTATTCTAGTTTTAGTATAAATAGGAATTTTATTTCATATTGTATTGGAACCAAAACTTTTGAGATACTTGATATTGAATTAAAGTGAGGCGTATTGTCTTCTTTTCATCGTTCTTCATTGAACAACTTCAAACTTATCAAGTGTTAACTTGTGGCGTTCAAATAACCAGATTTAATTCTTGGATTGTGTGATCAAAGGGTCTTTCAAGCATCGTTCTTGTTGGGTTTTTTGGTTTGACTTTCTTTTGGATTAATCTTAAACTCTTGGATTAATTTAGCTTTCTTGGGTTCGTCAATCTCGTTGTAGATTTCGTAGCCAACGTTGCTACGGGGTTCGCATCAATTGGTATCAGAGTCAAGCTCCAAATTAATTGAAAGTTATATCTTTTCATTACTTTTTAAGTCTTTTCTTGTTTTCTTCATTCTTTCCAATTTCTATTGTCGTTCCTCGTGTCGTTAAGTCTTTCTATTTCATCTTCATCGTTCTTGTGTTCTTCGTCATTTGAGTCATTCTTGTGTCGTTAAATTATCGTCAATTTCAATTCATTGAGTTGTTGGTAGTTTAATCGTATTTCTTTACAAAAGGTAAAAAAAAAGTTAAAAAAAAGTATTATATATCGTACGGTTATTGTTCATCCGTACAGTACCCAAAAAAAACTAATATTATTATTTCTTATTTTTATTATCAACACAAAAATAATTCTCGAATTGTGTGATTTAGGCTATTCCATTGTGTCAATTTTTCACTTTACTACTGAGTCTATTCACATATTCTTGTCAAAACAATCATCTATTCCACCTAATTCAATTCCTTGAGTCTTGTGGTTCTTGGTTATTATTCGGTTTGTTGAATTCCCAGTAAAACACTTAATTTAGTTCACTTGGTTCTTTGAAGTGCTTGGAGGGAGACTTTGAGTGGTAAGAGGTTGAGTGGTGAGTTTAATAGAGGGAAAAAGCCATATTGAGTTTTTTCAAGTGATATATTTGTGAGGCATATAAATTTGTGTGACATGATGTCGAAAAGAGACGGTCCCAACTCAAGCTGAAACGATAATGACAACAATGCATCGGAAGACATGATACGGAGGTTTGAATGAGTACTTGGTGATTTTAGGGAGAATGTGGATAGGCAAGGGGAATGGATGGCGCAAATAGGTACCACAATGGCTAATCTTAGCCGGGGACAAGTGGATATGTCTAATGCTAGGGGGCCGGTAGGTGTGAATCTAGGAGAGGAAAGCGGGATTAGTATCGTAGTGATGAGGATAACTTTGATGAAGATGACATCGATATGGGTCGAGCGAGGCATAGAGGCGTTAGGATGGAAAGACGGGGTAGAAATAACTTGGAAGATGAAATAGATGAAAATTCGCGGAGCATTAAAATGACTATTCCGCAATTTAAGGGGAGAAGCGATTCGGAAGCATATTTAGAGTGGGAAAAGAAGGTTGAGATGACTTTTGAGTGCTATAATTATTCGGAGGAGAAAAAGGTAAAATTGGCGATGCCTGAATTTGTGGATTACGCGATATTTTGGTGGAATCAAGTACTTACATCACGGCGTAGGGGTCGAAAAAGGCTAATTAGCACTTGGGATGAGTTGAAGACGTTGATGAGGAGGAGGTTTGTTCCGAATCACTATTATAGGAAAATCCATCAAAAATTGCAAGGTTTGTATCAAGGGTCGAAAAGCGTAGAGGATTATCACAAAGAGGTGGAAATTCTTCTGATCCGGGCTAATGTGGAGAAAGATCGGGAAGCTACTATGGCACGAAAGATCGGGAAGCTACCATGGCACGATTCTTGAATGGGTTAAATCGGGATATTGTAAACGTTGTAGAGTTGCAACACTATGTGAAAATTGAGGACATGTTACATGTGGCAATGAAGGTCGAGAGGCAATTGAAGAGGAAGGGGACGTCTAAGCAACCGTTGGGTACTTCGAATTCTAATTCAACATGGAAACGGAAGTGGGATGATAACAACAAAAAGGGGGCTGCACCTAGAGGTAAAAGTGATTGGCAAAAGGGTAAAGATGAAAATGCTAGCAAACCAATATCAAAACCGGAGGCACAACCGTCGCGCAATCGGGACATCAAATATTTTAGATGTTTGGGAACGGGGCATATTGCTTCTCAATGCCCAAACAAACGGACGATGGTGTTGAGGATAATGGGGAGATAGTGAGCGATAGTGATGGCGAGTTTGATGACATGTCGACATTGGAAGATGTTAGTGAAGAAGAAAAAGTTGAAGGGCCAATTGGGGATCTACTAGTCACGAGACGAGCTCTTACTACTCACGTCAAAGCAGATGATTTGGAGTTGCAACGGGAGAACATTTTCCACGCTCGATGCCACGTCAACAATACGGTATGTAGTGTTATAATTGATGGTGGTAGTTGCACTATATAGCTAGCATATCTCTTGTAGAAAAGTTAGGTTTAACATTGTTGAGACACCCGAGACCTTTATAAATTGCAATGGTTGAATGAGAGTGACGAGGTGAGGGTGAATCGAAGAGTGTTAATTAATTTGTGAATTGGGAGTTATAAGGATGAGTTAGTGTTTGATGTGGTGGCAATGCAAGCGGAACATATTTTATTGGGGCGACCATGACAATACGATAAAAAAGGCTATGCATGATGGGTACAAAAATCGATGTAGTTTCATTAAGGATGGAATGACCATTACTCTTGTGTCATTAATACCGGCGCAAGTTTATGAGAACCAATTAAAATTGAGAAGTGAAGAAGAGAGGAGAGCCAAGGAGTTAGAAAAAATGAGAGAAAGTGGTGAGTTAGAGAAAAAGAGAGAAAATGTTGAGATAGCCACTAGAGAAAAAAAGAGAAAGCAATCACAAGAGAGAAAAGAAAGAGTGTTCCGAGAGAAGAGAGAAAATACGAGCGAATTTCTTTGCAAAAGAAAGTGATTTGAGGAGGGCGATAATTAAGAGAAAAGAAATGATCTTGTTCGTTTATAAGGAATCACTCCTCAATTTTGAGGAAACTAACCCACCCCTCCATAGTTTGGCTAAGTCTTTGTTGCAGGAATTCGACGATATATTTTCGGAGGATGCACCAAGTGGATTGCCGCCTATTCGAGGCATTGAACATCAAATTGAATTCATACCCGGAGCTGTCATTCCAAATCGACCGGCTTATCGAAATAATCTCGAGGAAGCTAAGGAGTTTCAAAGGTAAGTGGAGGAGTGGATAAGCAAAGGATACGTGAGGGAAAGTATGAGTCCTTGTGCGGTACCGATTTTGCTTGTGCCAAAAAAGGATGAAACACGGCGAATGTGCGTGGATTGTAGGGCTATCAACAACATAACGGTAAAGTATCGTCACCCTATACCTAGGTTAGATGACATGCTTGATGAATTACATGGTGTTTGCATTTTTCTAAAATTGATTTAAAAAGCGGGTATCATCAAATTCGTATACGGGAGGGTGATGAATGGAAAACGACTTTTAAAACTAAATATGGTTTATATGAATGGTTGGTTATGCCGTTTGGACTCACAAATGCACCTAGCACTTTTATGCGCTTAATGAATCATGTTTTACATGCCTTT